GGGGGGGGGGGGGGGGGGGGTATCATCAGTTTATAAAAAAGCACTAAAACCTCATTACCGACCGCGTTCACTATAGTGTGGGTGAAGGATAGCTTGTAGTATCCTCTTTTGTCTAGCTCTCTGATTGCAAGATGGCTATGATCAAAGAGACATGGAAGCATATCTAACAAGACACATGACTCTTTCCAATGGGTGCTCTTTATGCAAGAGAGACAACGAATCACAAAACACCCTATTTATGCAGTGTTAACTTATAATTTCTGGATAAAGATTTTCAATATCTTCAGATGATACCTCACTTTTCCTAGGAAGGTAAAGGAGTTAGTTATTAGACATGGTCTTAAAGTACCCTCCCTTAAAAAATGAAAAAAGCGCTAATTGTACAAATCTCATTATGACATTCTTTCAAAATCCATACAAAGAAAGAAATTAAAAAGTATTCATGGAGAAGACACGAACTTATGCTAGGCTCTTCAACAATGTTGTTTACCATGTCATTTTTTGGTGTAAATTGTCTGGTACTTTGTCTCATAGTCATACCTCCCTCATTGTAAATTGGGAAGGTCTTTTGTAAGCATTATGGATAACACATTCCTTTTGTAAATTACAAACATCAATAAAATTGTCTGAAAAAATTATCAGATGCAACAAGCTTAGAAGGCTTTTGACAAGTCAACTAAAGAGCCCACCGCTGTACCTTCCTCCACCTCTAGGCAGATCCAGCGCCCAGTGAGTTCTTAACTACAACAAGCTTGCCTGACAGAAACTTCATTCTTTTGTTACATTAGAACAAGTAACTTTCACCTCAACAAGTAAGGTTGCCACTTCTGGATGGCCAAAACAATTGGCAAACGCTGTTTTATAATTTCTCCATCACGACTTCTCTCACTCACCCCCAAGCTAACTAACAATCTACACTCACTCTAAGTTCCCCTACTCCAAACATGTTTCCTTTGGTATGCATTTATTATTTCTGGCCTATTAGAGATTCATATTTAGCACTTCATGAAAATCAGGGATACCAAGGGAATTTCACCCAGAAAGTTTAAATTAAGAGGCAAACAGAAAGTGAATAATGTCCTCCAGAGAACTATTACCTAACATACATGGCCAAGTGTATACAGTTACATGCCAATACTATTACTTTATCTTTTGACATTGAGTTTAACAAAAAAGGAAGGAGGGTATGGAGTGCCTATGACTTACAGTTTTATCAGTTGCAACTCGAAAAGTCCCAGGGAGTGAAACTCCAGCGCCACCACCCATGGTAATGCCATTTAGAATTGCCACCTACATGGAAATTATCAACGCAATGTTGGAGAAGTTAGGGGTTTACATGTAATAAATGTGGAAGAAGACATACAATCAGCCGAAATGAATCCAAGTTAATGATTAAGGAGTGGATTTTCACATTTTTGTAATTTTTTCAGAGCCAAAAAAGTTCTTTTTTTTTAAAAAAAACGTATCTCCACTTAATGTAGATAGAAGTTACACTGATGAAGAATATATAGTCACATAACTCTGTCATCACACATATGCAAGACCTCCTCCAAAAAGTCAAGGTTAATTAAATAAAATCAAGAGGATGGTGTCAGCCTTGGCATAGTGGTAAACCTTCCCTAAACCCACCAGGAAAAATCAATCTAACTCCATCTCCGTAAACTTCCAAATGTACCCTCAAAAGTCAGTTTTGTATATTAACTTTACATACACATCCTAAATTTCCCAAAAGTAACTTTATACAATAACTTTACATAGACATCCTATTTTTTTTTTATGAAAAGCCCCTGTAGACATTTCCAATGCTCACACACACACACACACACACATAATGAGTATATTGCATGCCACACAGACAATATTTGCTCAAGAAAATTTTGTTCTAATATGAGTATACTACACAAAACACCATAATTTTCATCTCTCAGTACTAAGAAGCGCCACATTGTCATGAAAATGGAGCCAAATGTTCTAGATACAAATCTGAGAACTAGGAACTCACATGGGGCTTCAGGTATGTACCAACTATGTACATAAAAGTATACAATGTGCTGAAAAACTTTTTACATTCTTCCATCTTTCCTGCAGTCACCCAAGACATGGATAGCAATTTTAATAAAAAATGACAGATGAGTTAACCATATGAGAGTCAATTCTATATTTTAATCTAATAAAAGAACCCTAAGTCAATGATTAATTCTTAATATCATCCATTACCTTTATAAATTGTCGAGTGTAAAAGGACATAGTAAACCGACGAAAGCTACCAAAAATTTAGAAGTTGTAAAAATAGTGACTAAGTAACATGATTAACATCTTTGGATGATATAGTGAAATAAATAGATCCATGAATCGATTTAAAAGTTATTTATATAAATAGATCCATTCTGTTGAAACCATTAAACATTATTTAATTAAACTACAAAACCGCACTTATCAAATTCTCTCTGAATGTTCAAAATATAGCTCGGTGAAACCCTCTACTCCTGGAGTTCGGTTCACTGATTTACTCCTAAAAATGTCTATAAACATTAAAGACACAAACGTCCATCAATAACCTCTGACAGTTGAGTAGAAAAACATACAAGACAAGTGACCATTTAATGTACTGGTCTTCGCACAGGATGATATCGATATTTTGTGCTTCATCTTCACATTTACATTTTTCTTTGGTCCTCAACTTTCGCAGAAGCTAAGCTCATTAATACACATGGAAAGATCTTCTGTGCAAAATTGTTCTACTTTTGTTTTCTTACATGAGATTCCATTAATCTGAGCCATATAGTCAACTGAGTGTTAATACAACAGAGCACATCAGACTATTACCTTCGTTGATAAAACGATAAAGCGAAACAATATCTCCACCAGCACAAAATGCCCTGCCACTACCCTTTGATAATCCAAAATTTCAAAAATTAGATTAAGAAGTGTGAGCTGCAAATGAAAATGTACAAATACAGCCAAAATGAAAAATCATCCAAAACGGAACTATAAGAAAACTCAACAGATGGTGATAGGAAAAGAGAAAAGCCCATGATCATCAAGGGCAAGAAATTACCTTCATAACTACAAAACCAACATCAGGGTTTTCTTCCCAAGAATTGTACAATTTAAGCAGTCTAGCCCCCTAAGCACCAAGTACATATAAGAGTAAGAAATTTTCATGCAACCATCTGAGTAATTTCATATTCTTTCCAAAATGAACTAACAAATACGCGAATTGGGATGAAAAAATATCTTCACCATATTGGTAGTGAGAGCATTGAGAGCCGAAGGTCTGTTGAGAATAGCGGTTCTGGACCAAGCGCTGCCTTCAACAAGCACCTGCGAGAGAGAATCATGAGCGAACGAGCTGAACTAAGGTCTTAAACAAAGGAAATTATGTAATTATAAAACTGACTTGTTGATCGAGATCATCGTCCGTGGAATGGACGGGAAGAGAGCATTGGCTTCTCTTTTGAGCGAGGAGACGAACACTATGAAGGCTTCGCCTAGTAAATAACGCAACCTTCAAGCTCTGAATCATCATCTTCAACAAATTCTTCTTCTTCTACCTACCTTCTGCTGCGAAAATTCCCCAAGTTATAAATGATTCTGCAAGAATAGGTTGGTTTCCGATCTTTTCTGCAAGCCGCAATCGACAATTTGTAGACGAAAAAAGCGGGAGATAAAGCTTGTGCAGAAGAATCTTGGACTCAACATAGTCGTATTGATCGGAAGCTACAGCACGAGGATTTGGTTGGACGCCATTGCTGTTACCTCCTGCACTTCATTGAGCAGAAACAGGCCAAAAATACCGCGGCTATTTTGCAGAATTTAAGGGGGAAACAGAAAATAAAAAATTAAGAATTACAAAAAAAAAAAAAAAAAAAAAAAAAAAAAAAAAAAAAAAAAAAAAAAAAAAAAAAAA